TCTGATTTACATTTTGATATTGAGGAGATACCTTAGAAACATCGGAATGTACTGAGGTGACTTGATACTGAACTGATTTGCATGTAGATATTGAGGAAATACCTAATGAACACTAGGATAAACTGTGGCGACTAGATATTTGACTGATTTGCAGAAAAATAATATGATCCCTGTAAGCTATGTCTTCAACTTGAAGAATCAGACCTGTCCAACCATTCAATCTGCTATGCTGAGTGAATACTCAATCCAAATTCGTGAAACAATTCGTAGCTCCAAAGCAGTCAAACACGATATATATTGGATATCAAGCTAGCCAAGAAACGATTATTTACATTTATTTCACAGTTCTCTCTATTGAAGAATTAATAATTTAAAATTCTATTTCATCTACTCAATTTCCATTAGTTTCTGTACTTGTTAACAAGTGCATTTCTGTGTTTTCTTAACTTGTGCCAAAAGATAAACATCTGACTAGTATCAGATCTTTCGAGAGCACGGCATCGAACGTCGATAGTTAATCCGTTATTTCCGGTGGACAATTGAAAAGTTCAGTTAAAAATATGGTGAACACTAATTTCTACACGAAACAACTTTTAACTTTGTTTAAATTTATTTTTTCATTAATGGAACAAAATGTAAAATGAAAAATTATACATAACTGAAAGTGATAGAAATTGAAATTGTACTTTCAGACAAATAGTTTTAATTCACTGTAAAGAGCAGTAAAACTTATATTTCAACGGATAAAAGTTTATTTGTGTTCCAAGATGGTAATCTCGGATTGATGTTACGATAAAATATTGCCTGGTGAATTTCTCTTTTGTTTATATGAATTGAGCTATTGCTATTCTTGCTGATTCTATGTTTCCTGTCTTGATGTTGTTACACTATAATATTGTCCAAAATTGAATGGAAAGACAGTAAATTTAATGCTTTCTCTGTAACTGATTGGACTCATGTAAACAGACAACGTTACTATGCAATGACGGACATTTCGCCAGACAACAACATTATCCTAATCTTTTTAGATTTCCAATGGTCGATGCATCCTTAATGTGCATGGTCTGTAGCAAACGGGACTCCACTTTACTATCTCTTCTTCATGACTAGAAGCTCATTCTACTCGAGTCCCTGCGACCTATATCATTGTCAGGATAAATCCTATGCCAGAGTCGAATTTGGCATTCATGGCATAAATTGATTTTATTATCAAAATTTAGCTAGACCAACTAGTGTATTAGTGGCCATATGATCACCAATATAATTATTTTATGTCTACCACATTAAAATGATTTCAGCTTTAACCAAAACCACTTCTGGGAGCATCCAGTCGGAAAGAAGCTAGGTTATATAATAAGTCTTCACGATAGTCTCAATTTGTGAGAAAAAAGCTGTTATAACAGAACTTGTCGTTTACAATAATGACATTCTTTCCTCGTCTCATTTTCTTATTAAGTAAAAGGAAATAAGTAATCTAAGTTAAATAGTCTCATTATCAGTATAATCTGTCTTCTTCTATTAATTATTGTCTACAAACTAACGTCTCTGAAGGAATCCTTTGACAAAACATGTCTTGGTAATGCCATCTTCGATAATGTCTTTTTAAGACCCTCGCAAAGTTGTTCATTTCGCGAGTAACAGTGTTGTGAAGTCTGAATTGGTAAAAATTAGTATAAGCCGGCAACTTAAATGTGTCTTCGTGGTAATTGTTATAAAGTTGAGTTTTACGTCTTTCTTTACAAGGATGTTACACTATGTTTATGATAGTACAATTCAAATAGGACCAAAAACGTTCTGTTTCACGAGCATGTGCCAGAGTCAATGAACCTTTAGGGTTTGCTGAAAACATACGCATCTAACATCATGTGGTATGTTTGAATCAGAAAATAATTTCAACGCTGTGATTACCTTGATGAAATTCGTATAGGCAACGTTCTATGTATAGTTTTTGTAATGTTGGTATACCTTCGTGAAATATAGGCGTACATTCCTTGTCTGTTTCTTACATTTGCTACATCAGAACTCATTGAAAACCTATACTATTCCAACGACTTCGTTTCAGCAATTTGAAATATGCTAACCGTATAAAACATAAAGAATGTTTTAAAAATATTATAAAAATTATTATAAAAATATTATTTGAAGATTTTGTGTGGTAATAATTAGATAAGTATTGTATGTCATTAATATAATTATCAGAAACAGCCACTTTAAAGAGTATGAAATGAGGTTGTCTGGTAATAAAATACATAAATATTTTGATATTTAACATGATTAGATCGACCCAGTGGGATAAACATGTGTAAACAGCAGGGATAAACAGGTTTCACTTTATCAGATAGTTTACCGCAGGTATGTCAGTTTATACTATTCCTTTAAGGTATTTAGCGTATAGGTGGGATAAAATTACAAATTACCTAACCATGTTTAAAGGATGCTAACAAGTACACTTACAGAATCGAATATTCCCTGCACAATTTGGTTTCAGACTACTGTCATACGCCTGAAACGGACATCTAGACATCACCTTCTTCGACATAATTTAGTTGTTTTGCTCACTAACTTTTCCATCTGGCAGTCAGGGACTGACAAAGAAAAAGATTCCAGAGCCCTGTTTAATGCGGGCTGTGCACTCTATAGATTTCTCGACAGTTAAACATTGTTTAGACATTCCTGTTTTTTTGTTCTTTCTTTGTAGCCAAATGAGTTTAGGAAACGTAGACCGTAAAACCCAATTTTATCTGTGCTTTAATGGTTTATAATACCTCCCCACTGTTACCAAGACTCGGTATCTATCTAAAGACCGATATCATTGTTGGCATCAATTAGATACTGGTTATTCATACTGGTTTATGTAACCAATCTTTCAAAATGTAGTTAACATACGTTTTATTGTTGATCTCATCAACAGGAATTGTTAAAGAAAACAGTATTACTGTCTATCTTTAAAAGGAAACCAGTTGTCATATTGATGTAAGGGACATGTTCATTATCCGTTTGACTAATCTACCTTAGTCTCAGAAATGGTAATATTTTAGTCAAGCTAATCGGTAATAGTTTTCACAGCTCACCATCGAAATTTCAGACTTCAAATCCATGTCTTTTCAGAATTATCCTCCTTTAAAAGTTAAAATGACGACTCGTCTTTCCTCGAGACTCCGACATATATAGAAATAGAAAGTAACATTTCTAGTTTGAGGTATATTTGAAGGGATTATACGACTTCCGTACAGTTATATTACTTCTGCAGACTATTTACATAGATTCAAGACACAAATTAATCCCCAAAATGGCAAACATGGTCTTTAATTTGCGGTGGTTTTGTAAAGGAACAATTATATTATTGTCCAAGTATAATGATGATTATCATTTGCATAATAATATTCGTATTGTGTTGTAGTGTCTGCTTTTATTATGCAATAAAACATATTCTATGTATACCTAATTGTTTAGACAATGAATAACGTGTTTTGTCTGGAATAATGTTGAAGTCATAATGATTTTGTTGAAAGAATTCACGTTTATCATGCTGTATTATCATATCAATGTTTATTGTTGAACCGTAGAGTGTCAGTCGACCTAAGTTTTGTTATATTCCACGGGAGAATTGTCAAATTGCTTTGAATGGCCAGTCATTCCGAGGTATCTGTTAAGGGAGGCTCGCTAAGGTGAGATCATTCCCGAAAATGGCGACATAGGTCCAGAAGATAATCACTGATTGTTCAACCCAGTTTTCCCATATGACCGTAGCGTTTCGTGGAGAAATTAGTTGAGGCAAACGTTTCCAGGGGGGCAAAGGCCGGACCAGCATGTCCCCCAGCACTCCCCCCCCCCCTTCTGCATCTGTTGATTATAGAAGATATATTAAATGCTCGAATTGATGAAATATCTCATATCCAATCTATGTCAATTACATGTCAGAGCAGGGTGACTTTGACACAAATAGTGCCAATATGCATACAAGTTTTTATGACGTTGAGTTGAGTCATTTGAACCCCATTGATATAAAACATGATATCAATGAATTTGAAACTAAAACATGTATCATACACATGGAGTATAAGATTTCGACCATGTAATATTATGCATTATAATCGCGTGTTAACTATCATAAAATTTTAATCCTACAATTTGTTAAGTCACATATGAGTTTACACCCCCTTGGAATATAATATTTCAGCCTTATGAAGAAATAGTATTATTTAATTACTCCTACATTAAGTTCTCGGCATAGGTCTTGATATACCCTCAAATTTTCAACCGCTTTTTCACTCTCTGTGGGTGATGCTAGTCGAAGAGGATGACATAGAAATAGTGTTCGGTCGTTCAGAGTGGACCAAATTAATCAAGGCCTCAATTTTGTTTGTGAAAAAGTTATATTTTAATCTTATCTCCAACAACCTGAAAACATCTTCTAATTTCTAATAGTTCAAAGAAATATAGTTGGGGTCGAGGCGACATTGGTAACATAGAAATATAACTTTGGATTGACCATTAAATTTATATCTATTTTGATTTCAGGATTATTTATAAAGTATTCTAAGCTAGAACCATAATATTTTGATCTTGTTGAGATTTTAGACGTCTACTCAATAATAAGCTTCATAGGTTGAAACATTTGATATCATGAAACGATGTCACTGTGGGGGAAATACGTTATGAGTTTGATAGTGTTGATCGAATTTGATTTTCGGTTGATGTTTGGGTCTTATTGAGGGTTGGTCTAACATAGAATCCCCTAGTTGTGATTGATTCTGATTTTGATGTGAAAATTCGACTAGGAATGGTTCATTTACAAGACAAATAGAAAAGTCTATTCTGAATAGTATCACACGCACTATACCATTTGTAGGCCAGACAAATCAATTTGTTTTCTGAATAAACAGAAATAAACATATGCTAAGTATTTTAAGTTTGTTTAAATTTTTTCTCTATTCCATACATTGAACATGAAATAATGTCAAACCAATAAATCAATTGAATTATCGATAAATATGAACTTAAATTTTCAAAGCTACGCATCTGTCTCCACAATTCACAGAAAAACTTGAACTTGACATACTACCCTGATTAGTGTGTCGACGTCGATTTTTAACCCTAAACTTCGGGCAACATACAAATAACATTTTTCCAAATGCGCGTCTGAAGTCCCGCATTGATAATGCATATATAATGGGGTTAACCCCCGAGTTTATGTAACCGAGCCATGTAAATATTGAAAATATCAAATCGGGCGAGGATATACACGAATTACATATTCCAAATAACACATTAGAAATAAAAAATGGAAGCCAACACATAATAAATACACCGACTACTATTCCCAGAGTTTTCGCAGCTTTTTGTTCGCGAGCTATTTTACTTAATTTTTTACTTATCGCAAAATTTCTAAGTCTTTTAGTCAGAAACTTTCCATGTTGTCTATTAGCATGGTGGCTTTGTCCATTTTCTTTATTTTCGTGGTTTTGTAAAGGATGCGCGGGACTCTCGTCACTTTCACTGGCAGAGGGGAAATTATATTCATCATGAAGACGCCGCATACCACCTCGGTGCATACGCAACGTCATCACCTCACCGTCTCCACGTAAACCATTGGAGGTGACTTTACATCCTGATTTGAGTCCTTTAGTTTGTGCTGCAGCAGCTCGATAAATCTTACAATACACGAACATCATTATTATGGTTGGAAAATAAAACGATACTAAAGAAGAGAAAATCAGATAAGCTGTATCTTCTGTAAAAAGGCACTTATGTTCGGGAAGATCTGACGGAGTGACGGCTTTCCACCATGCTATTGCTGGGAACGATATACCGGCTGAACACAGCCACACTAATGTTATTAATAAACACACTTTACAACTGGACATTTTAGAAGGGTAAGCGATGGGATCTGTTATTGCCCAGTATCTATCTAACGAGATCACACACAAATTTAAAATGGAAGCAGACGAAGCTAAAACGTCTAAAGAATGCCAGAGGTCACACCAAGCTGTTCCGTACAGCCATATTTGATTAGTCATTTCATGACTGATACTAAATGGCATCACAATTCCACCCACCATTAAATCTGCTACTGCCAGAGAAACTATAAAATAATTGGTCACGGTTCGTAAATAAATTTCTTTATATACAGCAATCATAACCATGATATTGCCCACTATGGTAATAAAACTAAATGAAGCTAAAATGATTCCGATACTTGGATGTTTTAACTCATATTCGATCACGTATTCATCGTCCACAATACTTCCATTGTTGGCTGATAGGTTGCTATATACATCTGTAATAATTCCTAAAGGGGTATCCGTACTTTCCGTCAAGTTTGGCATGTAATTCTTCAAAGGTGAAACCCTAGTAGACTGAATGTGAAGATATGTTTTCCTGAATTTCGATGTTGCTGTAAAGTTCACCATGGAAGGTCTTCTTGGCGTCCAAATCAGTTGGTTAATCCGTAATTTACAGAAAGCACATGCTGTAAGAAGATGAGAATAAAGGGAAAAACTTGGATAGAATAATTTCCAATCCTTGTCGATTAAAATCCACATGAAGTAAGAAGAAGTCTGATAACACATCACATCAAAATCTAACGTTCATTATTTTATTAGCTGGTTGTTCCTCCATTCATTCCTAAACCAATTGGATAATCACCGGGGCTAATTTGGCACTTTAATTCTGAAAATATAAATAAAGGTATTATTAGGATTACACCAGTCAGTACCAATTTTTTCTTCATAACAAAACTTCTAGTTCTTCGTGTTGGCAGAATGAAATGAGCACTTGTAACATGAAAGATATTGCAAAAAAATTAATTTACATAGAAGGCTTTTGAGTCTTGTATAAAATTTATTTTTATCTTATGATGAACATCTGAAATGGTTTTTATGTCTGTTGTAAGTTCAAACAACGTAAAGTGCATCACAATAAAGACTTTTTTATGTAATATTTCCTATGTGTGAATAATAATAATTGCTAATTAAGTTAAATTAAAATAAATTGGTTATTAAAGCTGAAAATATCATAAGCAATATTATTTGAAACTCCAGTGACATGACACGTTAAAATTTATATTTAAAATATTCACTAGGTAGTGTATTACATGAAGGAAGGGGAAACAATATATTTTTGAGGGGCATGTCTACAGTTGCTGGAAACCGTCTTATGTAGTTTTATTGCTCTTAAACCCATGTCCGAGGACTCTAATCGAAATTGATCTTAACTACAATTAATACTGCGTTTTGGTGTACCAAGCTAAGAGTATTCATCTTTCATGAGTGTGGCCTTATCTCACATTGGCCTTGACTTTGTAAAATCTTTATGCCTTTGCTGAGTAAAGTTATTCTAGAGAACAACCCGATTTTCTAAAATGGTTGATAATGTAGAGTATTTATTCCTGAGGTAAAGGGTCGAGAGGCTATTACATCAAAATAGATAGACGAGATTTGTTCTATTGAATTACACAACAAAATCTGATCTTGAAAATCTAAATTACTCAATCATTTCTGATTCCTCACCAAATTTTGATTAAAATGACCTTGTTAAGTCTTTCAAACACCAATGCATGAGTCAGAATTCATAGCTAAGATCTGTGACTTCGCAAAACGTTATAATGCTTTAAAAAAAAACAACCTTCACAAAATAAAAATCGATATCCTCAAGTCGAAAAACGATGTAACTGATTTACTTTTCAACTTTGCTATTTGTCCATAAATGTATTAAGTAGCAGAACACTTAGATAATGTTTGTTTCTGGAATACCTCAAATTCAATCCAATCGAGTTAACGTTTCGAATTCAATGGTAAAAAGAAAACTTTTAAAGACTAGTTTTGTATGATTTGCGATTCGGTGATTACAGCTTTATAGAATATGATTATTACTGATAACTTAACATTGCACATAGGGAAAATGTCATGCTTGTCATGGACGGAATTGGATTGGATCTAATAAAGATACCACGGAAGGAGAAAAAAATTATTATTAATTATAAAAATATAATAAATTTTGTGCACCGGATTGGGCTAATAATGATGACAGACAACGGCATGTTGTAAGCAATGGGAGGAATTGCCAGAACAGCGGTATAAGCCTACTCTTCTTCGATTTCCAACTGTCCGGGACATCTCTAAAGATTATACAAGAAGCAAGATATCTGTTAAAATAACCTAGGTGAGATTTATTTTTTAGTGCGACTTAATTCTTGTGACTGATCACATTATCATAGAGGCCACTGGTTGCCAGCAATCTAGGAAATCGAGTTGCTTCCAGATACTGGCATTCACAGAGTCGAACCAAGTCCCAGTTCACAATGGGGACCTCAACATTCAGAGAAACGTATTGTGTAGGTGTGATGAAAATTGTAACCCGCAACCATAACCCATCACGCTGTGCTGGAAATATGTAAAGAAGCTATATTGTGTGTTGGTCACTGTAATGAACGATGGTTTTCCTACGAGGTGAACTGTGACTGATTGGTTTGATTTTCTCAGCCTTGGGTACTGATGTACTTGTACTACTTTTAAGCCTTGATTACAGTTTACGTAGAGAACATTGAACACGTTCCAATTACCTAAACCATGTTGTTGATATCCCGATGATCTGTCCCGTGCTCAGTGACATAAAATGAACTAATGAGTGGCAGTCGTGTTACAGTCGTATTATACGACGTATACTGAACAAGATCCAACTTTCTCGGTTACTGTCTCAACTTTGAAACCTCTTCACTGAACTAAGTCTCACTCCAGTCTTTTTATAATACGTGATTTGTTGACCTTCTTTACAAATTTGTTTACCTAGATTTTTAATGGTCGTCTCATATTTTTAAACGATTTTGCCATCTCTATTGATTTACAAAGCACCTCGAGGGATATTCTAACCGCTCAATGAAATGATGAGTTTCTTTAGCAATTTGATTGATGACTACTTTCATCTTTCTTATTCTATTCTCAGACGTCGCATTTAAATTTCGTAAAAAAATAAATTCTCAGAAAAATTTAACATAAAATGTCAAAACCTCTATATCTGTTTTATAAAACTTGTTGATATGAAAAGAATATTTGAAGTGTGATCACTGTGACACTGTCTAACCTTTGCATGTTATATTGTCGATCTTGAAGGCATGTATGATTAACATCCACTATCGGCGAGCTACATCCTCATCTATGGAATCTGTCAACAGGGACACTTAAGTGAAAACCGATACATGTACATTCAGGATGAAACATCTTCAATGGCAATTTTGATTCCCAAGGGTCTAATTTCTTTGTAGCCCTTTTCCTTTCCTGAAATAACCCTTCGTGGTATACCCCTTCCGATTGACCGCTATGTTCAGTTAGATCTGTCTTATCTGGTAGTTGGTCTCAGAATAAATTTCTATTACTGACTAATGCTACGTCTTGATATAACCCAATATCAAATTATACTGACGCACAGTAGTATTATCTTTTTTTCAATTTTACTTAAAAGATACATTCCCAAAAATACTTTGAATGATTCAATCCTCAAGATGCTCATGTGGTGCCTGTCCACTATTTCAACAGTTTGATCCTTGCATAGGTGGACTCTCGGAGATTCTAAATTTCCCTTCTTTTTCCATACATACGACGATTTTTTTATCGTAATATTTTTCAAAAGCGAGAGTAAATGGTTTAAATTAATCTGGTTATTTCTCCGCTCCATGGACAAGTTAAAAGTTTCCAACCAGTTCCAAGAAGCTGATTGTCCTCGTCATATAAGGTCAGCAATAGCTACAACATATTTCACTGTAATTTGAGTAATCAAAGATTTTAGGTCACCATTAAATTACGAAGGAAATTACATGACCTCCAGTGGGAACATAATGTCATTGGAACTGGAACGTTTGCAATTAGATTCATTTAAGTTTATATTATTCTTTTAGCTTACGGCTTTTCTCCATACACAGTCGTTCTTAGGACCGATTTAATAACTGGGTCAAGACCTGGATTGTCACAATAAAAAGTCGTGTTCCGAAAGATATTTTTATGGCGATTTCAGATGATCAAAAAGTAGGTCCTTGAGGTTTCCAATAAAATGCTATAAAACTACAATATATAAGAATTCCTTTTAAATGATGTATTTAGAGAAACGCCACATGATCTTCAAGTACAAGGATGCCAAAAAGTTGTTACTGGAAAACTACAATTGTCCTTTTAAAGCACGTGTATCATAAAATCGGTATTCCTCAAGAGACCTGTAGAGAAACACCACATGATCAACAAGTAGGCACTTGAAGAAGGATGCCAAAAAGTTGCTACGGGAAAACTACATTAAATGAGAATGATGGGTGTGTACATAAAGTACAGTGTTCCCCAAGAGATATTTGAAGACATTTCAGATGATCTAAAAGTAGGTCCTTGAGGAGGTTGCCAATAAAGTGTCATGGAAAAAGCATTAAATGAAAAGTCATTTTAAAGGATATCTACCATAAAATATATTTACAAGATATTTCAATTGATGAAAAAGTAGCTTTGAGAGAGAGGGGGGGGGGAACTAAAATGCCACTGGAAAAATTTACATGAATTGAAAATTCCATTTAAAATACGTCTACCAAACTGAAGATATATTGTTTTATTGAAACATCAGAAAGTGGGTATCCGAGAGGGATGCAAGTGCCGTTGGCAAAAACTACATGGACTGAGAATCTAAAGAAAGGTACCATAAAATTGAGAAATTTCATGTTGATCAGAAAATAGGTCCTGGAGGTTATCTTAAGATTGGTTGGTGAATTTTCAGATTACTGGGGCACAGTGATAATAATTTACAAATTTTAAAAAGTAAGTTCTGGAGAAACACAACAATTCACGGCAGTCTTGAGCTTTAGGACCTTGAAACATAGACTAAACACCAACAACCTTCCGCAGACAAATAAGTAGGTCGGTTACGATACAATGATCATGAAGGCTGCCAAAATTACTCTTTGATGATAAGAAATGAGATAAGTGACAGCCCCACTTTAAATCAACCATATTTTCTTTTCATTACATTCCAAATTCATGTCAGTTTTAAACCTTTTAGATAATATTCCTCTCGGCTTTAAGATTGATAAAACACATATCGATTTGTCATTTTGGGCGATACATCATTTTAATAATATACAAATGTACAAGAAACTAAGTGCAGTGAAAGACAGTAATATTGTAATAAATTCCATTTATTGTCAAACGTGGCGGATGTATTTTATCAATTTTAGCAGATTATATTTGAGGCTGTCAAAATGTTCCAGCGAAAATAATCAAATTGCTTTTATCAAGTAAATACAGCAGACTATTCTTAAATTGGAAAATAAATAAAACAGAAAATTTAATATAAAAAGAAA